TATTTTGAACGAGGTCATACACTTTTCACATGTCTATTTCCCTATAGACCATTAGTTCATATATGTTTTTCTGTCAGTTAATGGTATGTTTTCTCCTTCATCTGTAAAGACGGCAAGGCCTGAGGCTGGGGGAGGTAGAGGAAGGGAAACATTGGGACCCACGGAGGGGCGAGCAGGAGTGCTGGGCTGAGGACAGGCAGGAGTTGCAGATGATCCTGGTTTTCTTCTTGGAAGGTTGGCTCTCTGCAGTGGCATTCCCTAAGGACACGGTAGGAAGATCGGGTCCGTTGGGAGACGGTGAGTCTGAGGTTTCTCTGGGAGGTGCAAGAGGAAAGGTCTGACAAGCAATTGCACATTCGGGTCTGGAGCTGAGGAGAGGTCTCAGCGGGAGACGGAGCTGTGAGGCAGCACCTCAGGAGTGAGTGGGGGTGAATGTGTGGAGGGAGGCAGAAGAGGAGACACCCTAGAAACACCAACACGTAAGGGGCAGGTGGAGGAGGAGCCAGTTAGGGAGGCTTGGAGAGAGGAGACAGAGCAGCTGCTCAGATTAGCATCGGAAAAGCTGAGAAAGGTTGCTGGGTTCGGTCCTAGGTTAGGGCACATACAGAAGGCAACCGATGGATGTTTCTCTCTTTCTCCCTCTCCCCCTTCTCTCTCCAGAATCAATAAAAATATAATTGTAAAACATAATAATATTAATAGTATTCATCTCAATTTTGTCACAAAATATAATAATACTGACTTCTTGGAGCAGAGTAAGTCCCTGGGTGTCAGGTGATTGGATAGACAAGCCCCTTCCCCTATACCAGTGGTTCTCAGCAGGGACTATTTTGTCCCCCAGGGGACATTTGGCAGTGTCTGGAGGCATTTCAGAGAGGAAGGGCGTGGGAGAGAGATAGAAACATCAATGGTAAGAGAATCATTGATAGGCTGCCTCCTGCACACTTCACAATGGGAGACAGAGCCTGTAAGCCAAGCATGTGCCTTGACTGGGAATTGAACTGTGATCTCTTGGTTCATAGGTCTACACTCAACCACTGAGCCACACCAGCTGGGCTAGAGACATTCTTATCATGACTGGGAGTGGGAGTGGCACTGATATGTGGTGGGTAGATGCCAGGGATGATGTGAAATATCCGACAATGCACAGGATGGTCCCCCGCCATGAAGAATGATCAGGCCAAACATAAAAAATGCTGCACCCTGCACTTGTGAATGTGTCTTGCTTGAAGCGGCCAACTCTTCAGCCAGCTGATTATTTTCAAGAGATTTGAACTTGGACTCCAAAGACCTCAGCCTCCCTTTCCTCATCCAGCAGATGGGGATGCTGAGGGCTGCCTGGCCTGTAGCCATTCCACCTCCTGATGGTTGAGCCTCTTCTTCCTGGTGTAGTAGGCTGTCCCTCGTGTCTTTTCCTCTCTTCCCAGCCGTCCAGAGAAACCTGATTTGCTGTCCTCCATTTGCTGGATTTCTGTTGTCTTCCATCCCCAGAGCAGCGTTTGGGGCCACAGAGCCACCCCTAAAACCCTGCAGAGCAAAGGAGGCAGAGAGAGAGAGACCCGGGGAGACACACTCCGCGGCCAGCTCCTCTGAGCACGCCGTTATTCAGGGTCTCAGTACTTCGTGTTTCCTTCCACGCGGTGTGTGTGGACTTGGGTCTATTCCTCCCCAGGCAGCTCTGCTCCCGAGGTCAGAACCCATGCCTGCCAGCGTCCCCAGCCCCTGCACAGGGCCTGGCGCTCAGGGTTTCTATGTGGAGTGTGCAAAGGGAGAGCCAGAGAAAGGAAAGGGCCAAGAGACAGATACAGGGAAGGAGGAGAAGCCAGGAAAGGAAGAGAAGAGGGGGAGGAGGAGTGGTGAGTGAATGTGAAATGCCGAGAGATCTAAACCGAAGAGGGAAGAGCCAGGGTCAAAGGTCGAGTGGAGACTGAGACTTGAGCACCATACAGACTAGCTAAGAGGGGGATATGAAGAGAAAGATGAGGGATGAGAAGGGTGGAGAAAGAAGGGAATGGGCATGCGATTAGAGAGAGACAGAGACAGAGAGAGGCGGTAAATGGCGAAGCAGAGAGACAGAGGCTGGAAGAAAACCTCTTTGAGGGCTGAGCTCGGGATTGCAGGTTCTTGGACCCGAAGGCCCGGGCTGGAGCAGCGCGGCTGGGAGCTCTGGATGCTGGAGCGGTTTCCATGGAGACGAGGAATGCTCCCCGCGGGAGAGGAAACACCGAACCCCCGAGGGGAGGGCTGGAGAGGAGGAGGAGGGGCTCCCTGGGTTTGTCCTCCCCCCAGGCTCTTTCCCATCCCTGCCTCCTGCTGGGGGGGGAGGTGAAGGGGGGGGCGGGGGGGGGGAGGTGGATAGTGGGAGGCACCCAAGGGCTGCGTGAGTCCGCTCCTTTTCTCTCCTCTCCCCACCTGAATGAAGGTCGATTCTCCTCCCTTTTGCAAAGTGTCAGGGACATTTAGGGAGACGCGTCCAGCCTCCTCCGTAGGCTCCTCCTTTTTGCCACCCAGTGGATGCTGGAGCACCCCGGGGCTCAGGCCTGAGCCTCCTATTCAGGTTCCCGTTGTGCCCAGTCCCGGGGATTTGCATGCCCACAGCTCCGCTGGCTACATCTCCAGCACCGATTCTCCCCGTCACCCACCAGCCTTCCTCTCCGTTTGAGGGCCCAACCGGTGCCTCCAAACTTGTTGAATTCCTTAACTCGCCCAGCTCCTTCCTGCCGCAGGGCATCTTGCATTTGCCATCCCCCTTGGCAGGAAGTCTGTTCCCAGCACTGAGGTGGCCCGCCTTTCCATCAGAGCGCCTGTCCCAGGAGGGGGCATGGCAGAGGGAGGAAGCCTGCTGGGTGTGTGTGGTCCCCGAGCTGTGCAGGAACTCGGCATCAGCAAGGGACACCACCTAGGGGCGGGGGGACACTACCTGTCACAGGGAGGGCCGGGGGTGAGGCCAGAGGAGGCCAGCGGAGAAAGGGGGGAGGAAGGGAGGAGGGCCCCCGCCTCACTGTCAGGCAGGAGTCTGGGTTCTCAGGAGGAAGGTTGGCAAAGCGTAGGGCCCCCTTCCCAAACTAGCTGGACAGTGGGTAGAGCTGACCCTCACCCCCACTTTGTCATTGCTGTCCTCTAAAACCCAGGCTAAGGCCCTGGCCGGTTTGGCTCAGTGGCTAGAGCGTCGGCCTGCAGGCTGAAGGGTCTTGGGGTCCATTCTGGTCAAAGGCACATGCCCGGGTTGTGAGTCCGATCCCCAGTAGGGGGCGTGCAGGAGGCAGCCAATCTGATTCTCTCTCATCACTGATATTTCTGTCTCTCTCCTTCTCCTTCCTCTCTGAAATCAATAATAATAATATAATAATAATAATAATAATAATAATAATTTAAAAAGCCAGGTTAAGCACTCAGTTGGCTGGCATGGAACCTTTAGGTTTCAGACACAGTAATAACCCTGTCGCTGGCGGGACCATCAGACACCAAGATGGCAACATCAAACCACACAGTCTCAGGTCACAGGGCAGCCAGCACTGCAAGGGGAGGGAGGAGCAGAGGACACCGCCTCTGGGGCCTAATGAACCTGGTTGGCTCTGATTGGTTGTATGGGGCATGTGTCCCTCTCTGAGCCAATCAGTTATCAGAGAAATACAATGTGCTGATTGGTTCACCCTTGAGTCCCACTCAATAGGGTAAATACTTGGAGGAGCCCAAGAGATGGACCCAAGTGGGTCACTAAACACAGAGGGCAAGGGTGCCCAGCAAGGTATCAGCAGGGGCCCATTTTGATTCAAATGCTTTTTTTTTTCCCCAAAGAGGAAGGCAGAGAGTGATAGGAACATCAATGATGAGAATCAGTGATCAGTTGCCTCCTGCATGCCCCTCACTGGGGATCAATCCTGCAACCAGGGCACATGCCCTGACTTGGAATCTAACTGTGACCTCCTAGTTTTTAGGTCAGTGCTTAACCACTGAGCCACACCAGCTGGGCCAAATGCTTTTTTTTTTCTTTGTCTTGCCCTCATCTGAAACCAAGCCCCTCCTTATCTGCGTGATTATTATCATGACTAGTTTGAATAACAGCTACCATTTATGCAGGACTCATTGTGCCAAGCACTTCACATTCGCTGCTTGTTGTTGTAACCTTTACGGTTACTTGAGAGCCATCATTACCCCCATTTCACAGATGAGGAAACTGAAGCTCAAAGGTGACAGAGCTGGCTCGAGATCACACGTCTAGGAAATGGCTGAGCCACGATTCGAACCCTTTAGGGCTTTTCTCTAATGGCTCTCTCTCTCCCCTCACCCCCCACCTAACGTGCAAGCTTCATGAGGCTAGAGTCCAAGTACCCTCCCCGTGCCTCGTCCAGTGCCTGGCACAGAGCAGGCTTTCCATAGATACGCGAGTGAGTGAATGCCTGGCGCTGTGCTATGTGTCTTTCAAGTATTACTTCCTTTAATCCTCACAAGCAAACCACCTTGGGAGGTAAGTCTTCACTCTGATTCCCATCACACAGGCGAACGGGAGGCACAGACCTAGGCTCAGACCCCATTGTTCTCACCCCAGTCTGTGCACAGTGCTCCAACTGTGTGAATGAGGACATGGTGCCAGCATCTTGACGGAAATGAAAATATCACTCAATAACTATGTGTTGAATGAATAACCTAACTAAATCGATGGTGATGAGGATGGGAGAGGGTGAGCATGGCCGAGGTGGGAGAGGGTAAACATAGGTGAAGGGAGGTGACGGTGGTTTGTTACTTCCTCATGCTTCCAGGAAGGGGCCGATGCGATGGGGGAGGGAGAGGGCATGATGGGTCCCGGAAAGCCCCTGCTCTTCTGGGCAGTCGGTGTCCTTCCAGGCCCACACGTTTCTGGAACCCACAGGAACTGGGGGGCAGGCCTTTGGGTTGCTGGGCGGCGTGAGGAGGGCCCCTGGGGGTCCCCGGGCTCTGAGGAGTAACCATCCCCTTCTGCCTTTCTTCCTGACCGCGGGGCTGGGCCTCGCGCCCCTCAGCTCTGTGCCTCGTGCTGGGCTGCATGATCTTCCCCGACGGCTGGGACGCCGAGACCATCCGGGACATGTGCGGGGCCAAGACCGGCAAGTACTCGCTGGGGGACTGCTCGGTGCGCTGGGCGTACATCCTGGCCATCATCGGCATCCTCAATGCCCTCATCCTCTCCTTCCTCGCCTTCGTGCTGGGCAACCGGCAAACCGACTTGCTTCTGGAGGAGCTCAAGCCCGACAACAAAGGCGAGTGCACGCGTCTGTGTCCTCCGGCGGGCAGGGGCGGGCAGGGGCGGGCGGCCCGTGAAGGCTGATGGGGCTGCAGGAGTTGGGGATGGTACAGACAGGATGATCGCCTTGGAAACAACACAGCTTTATGTCTCAGATCTGAGCCCATGAGAAACTTGTGAGAATGGCCTTGGCAGCTGTTTCCAAATAGCAGAGACTGAAAGCAACCTACATGGCCATGGACAGGAGTGTGGACAGACGGATGGTGATATATTCACGTCACGGAACAGTTCCTAACTGAAAAGGAAGGAATGAACCTCAGTTTATAGTAACAGAATGGGTACCCACTGGAGACATACCACGGAGGGGGTGGGGTGGAGGGGAATAAAGTTCCAGAAGATGACACAGTGAAATTTATATTGAGCTCAAACACCAAGCACCACTCAGCAATGTATAGTTTAAACACATTTATTTATGGTGATACGAGCAGTTTAAAAAACAAACAAACAAACAAACAAATGAGAAATATAAATGATAGAAGGGTGTGTTTGGGATGGATGAGGGAAGCCAGGAGCAGATGTGGACAGGTAGGTGTAAACACATTATTGGTAGAGCTACAGTTTTTTTGTTTGTTTTTTTAAATATATTTCATTGATTTTTTTACAGAGGAAGAGAGAGGGATAGAGAGTTAGAAACATCGATGAGAGAGAACCATCGATCAGCTGCCTCTTGCACACCCCCTTCTGGGGATGTGCCCGCAACCAAGGCACATGCCATTGACCGGAATCGAACCTGGGACCCCTAAGTCCGCAGGCTGATGCTCTATCCACTGAGCCAAACTGGTTTCAGCGAGCTATAGTTCTTGAATGGTGCTTTATAACTAGTATATTGCAATTATATATCTATATCTATATCTATATATCTATATATCTATATCTATATCTATATCTATATCTATATCTATATCTATATCTATGTATATCCTATATAATAAAAGGCTAATATGCAAATCGACCAAATGGCAGAACAACCGGTCACTATGACATGCACTGACCACCAAGGTGCAGACCTTAACACAGGAGCTGCCCCCTGATGGTCAGTGCGCTCCCACAGGGGGAGCCTGCTCAGCCAGAAGCTGGGCTCACAGCTGGTGAGTACAGTTGTGGTGGTGGGAGCCTCTCTCGCCTCCACACCAATCGGACATCCCCGCGTGCGCCCCCCCCCCCCCCCACCCAGGGCTCCTGGACTGCGGACTGTGAGAGGGCGCAGGTCAGGCTGAGGGACCCCCCTCCCCAGTGCACGGAGGTGAAGTCACCTCTTAGCTCAGCCTGCTTCCAGCATAGATGAACAGCTTCCTCCGTCTAAGGGTCCCACCCCAATGCCAAACTACCTCCCGCCAAATGAGACCGTCTTCCCCACCATTATCCCTGTTTTATAGAGGAAAGATTCCAAGAGATGAATATAATGAATGGAAAGTGCTAAACATAAACTAAATTTCATCTAGTATATATATACTAGAGGCCCTAGGGGATTGGCCTAAGCCAGCATTCAGAGATCCCTCTCAGTCTGGGATCCCTTCTGCAGTCCGGGACCCCTCACCCCTTACTACTCGCCTGATCGCTGTTCCTTAGCACTGGCCGAGAGGTGGGAGAGGCTCCCGCCACTGCCACTGCGGCCACTGCCACTGCGCTCTCCAGCCGTGAACAACACCACACACACACACACACACACACACACACACACACACACACCCGGCTTCTGGCTGAGCCGTGCTCCCCCTGTGGGAGCGCACTGACCACCAGGGGGCAGCTCTTACATTGAGCGTCTGCTCCCTGGTGGTCAGTGCGCATCCTAGGGACCGGTCATTCCACCAGTCGTGCCACCATTCGGTCTATTTGCATATCAGGGTTTTATTATATAAGATATATGTATATATAAGATATATGTATGTGTGTGTGTGTGTATATATATATATCAGGTAACATTAAAACACAACAAAGAAACAACTTTAAGGCCAGAACCTTAGGGGTTGTCACTGTTGTCAATACTTTTCTTCAAACCTGATCTGTCCCTTTACGAAACAGAGAGTCACGTTAAGTGCTACGATGACATAGAACAGGTATCATCCTAAACAACCCTCCTCCCCTCTCTCAGCTCGATTACTGTGCTCCACTCTGGAGCATGTTGTAAAGATCTGTATATCATTCCATGGAGACTCATCTTGCCCTTTGTATCCAGTGCTTAGCATCACGTGAAATAAAGGAACTGTGCTTTTCTTACCATTCTCCTTTTAAGGGGCTCTTGGTGAGATTTCCAGGTTTTTACTATCACTGGCAAAGCTCAAGGACCATTTTTGTCTGTGTCTTCTTAGTCACAAGTGTCTCCTTGGTGCCTTTCCAGAAGTTAAATTGCACACTTACCATTGGAATGACAGTGCCAGATGGTTCTCCGAGGGAGGGCTGGTCTTCTGACCCAGGGGCCCGCCCTGCCCCCGGGGCCAGGGGAGACACTGCGCGGCCACGGCGGACAGACAGACCCCCATCTGTCTGGGTGTGCGTTTCCTGCTGTGAGAAATAGTGGTCATTTTCACAGTCACACCCTTCCGTGAGCCATTAGCGTGAGCTGGGCCTATGTTTAGCACTTTCCATTCATTATATTCATCTCTTGGAATCTCTCCTCTATAAAACAGGGATAATGGTGGGGAAGACGGTCTCATTTGGCGGGAGGTAGTTTGGCATTGAGGTGGGACCCTTAGACAGTGGAAGCTGTTCATCTGCGTTGGAAGCAGGCTAAGCTAAGAGGCGACTTCACCTCCGTGAGCCTCAGTTTCCCGCATTCACAAAATGGGTGTGATGAAAACGTACCAAAGATAGTGTACACATACATATACTCACGGTACCACGGGTTGTCCTGCGAGGAAGATTATGCCTGCAAAGGGGCGTGTGGCTTATGCTCTGTGAAAGTTGCCACTCCTCCCCACTCCCCATCAGGTGGGCCTCATGACCGCCATTTTACAAACGAGAGGTCCAGTCACTTGCTCAAAGCCGCCTACGTGATGGATCCAGAATCTGAACCCAGGTCCAAGTCCAGAGACCCAGCTCTGCCCCATTGCCTGTCCCCCTTCCAGCCCTTCCCGGACTGCTAGCTGCTAACCTATGCTCTGAGCCTCCGGCTCCAGGATACCTTGCTATCCTGAGGTTTCTGTGGCCTTGGTATGAAGTCAGGGCCTGCCCTCTGGTGGCAGCTTCCAGAAGTGCATGACTAAGACAGCCATCTGCCTTTTATCGTGTGAGGTGGGCCCACTCAGCGTCCTCTCCTCCCTCCCCCACCAGGCACCCTGATAGCTCAGTCTTAAAAGCGACATCAGAGATCTCCACCCTTATGAAGAGCTCGAGACGACAGACTCTCCGTTCAGTTATAAGCCAAAGATCTCCGGGACAAAAGTGAACAATAAAATACATGGCTACCACGCCCAGCATTTAGGATGTGCCAGACACTGCGCAGAGTCCTTGGCGGGTGTTCTGTACGCCTTTCTGACCCTCAGCAGCACCTTGGGAAGGAGGCTGTTCTGCCGTCGTGCAGATGAGGAAGTTGGGGCTCAGTGAGGTCCACTGGCCTGCTCAGGGCCATCCAGCTTGTCTGAGGCCCGGGCGGGATTTCAGAGCCTGGGCACCCACCTCACCACGCTGCCCCGTTTTGCCTGAGGATTGTCCAAGGGGAGCCCCAACGCCCTGGTGGTCTCTGACTTTCTCCAATTCTCTCTCTCTCTCTCTCTTTCTCTTAGATTTCGTGAGCTCTACAGTAAGCTCTGTGTTGCGGCCAGGGGGTGATGTCTCCAGCTGGGGAGTCCTCCCCTGCCCCGTCGCTCACTCACAGGGACCCTGAAGGCCAGGATCACAGCCCAGGAACTGACCTGCCCTCAGTGTGTCCCGTCTCTTGCCCTCTCATCCTCCAGTCAAGGTCTGAGGGAAGACCCCAATCTCAGACTGACGTCTCGTCTGCTACCCGCCTGCCAGCTCCAGACTTTGAAGAGAGGTGGAGGCTGGGTGCAGCCTGGGGGAGGGGAGAGGCCCTGCAGACCCTGGGAGGGTCTGGCTCTGCCCCTCCCTCCACCGACCTAAGGGAGCCGGACATCCCTCGGGAGCTTCTCCTCTCCTCTCCCACCTGGCCTGGGGCCCCGCCGTCTCTTGGGGGAAGGAGGCACTCGATCTGGGAGCTACTGCCTGGTCACATCCTTGCCACCTCTGGTCCCTGCCTCCTGTAGAAACTTATTCAAGACACTGCCCCAGGGCAACCAAACTCTTTCCCTTTTTGGCCATGATGGTTCCATCACACCTTTGCAGAGCTCCAGGCGTCACCAGCCTGCTCCCAGCTCTCCTGAAGGAGTCTGAGCTGCACCGAGGGAGAAAGCACAGGGCCTCCCTGTCTCCTGGCGCCCTGTCCGGCCCCGCGTCTGAGAAAAGACACACGGCCCCAGAAGGGAGGGCAGGAGATGCCGGGACTCCGGGCAGCCAGGGCCGGGAGTGGCTGTGCCCGGGGTGGGTCTGGCTTCGCTGCTGGGACGTCCTGCCGCTGACTGGACCCTCAGCCCCAGCTCGTTTTGTACAGCACAGACCCTTTGCCCTGTTGTTAGGGTTGGAGGTTGGGGAGGGGCCTACCTGTGGGGCATCGGGGGAGGTATCACCCCCCTGCCCCTTCTTGTGCTGCCTGACCCTGGCGTTTGCTAAGGGCAGGGACTGTCTTGCCTCTTTGATACTTTTCTGCATAACTTGAACTTGCAGGTCACCTCTGAACAGGGTACCCCCTGTCCCCATCCCCAGGCCTTGTAACCCTGCCCCCACCTCTTTTCCTCTTGGCCCACCTCTCGCCTTGCGATATGCCCAGGGTCTGCCACCCGATGGGCAGTGCTTGGAGCCGAGGCGTGAGTGTATGAGTGTGTGAGTGTGTGTGTGTGTGTGTGTGTGTGTAAGTGTGTGGAGGGGGCAGATGAGGCGTCCTCTCTCGCCCCTCCTCCCATGGGGGCATCTCCCTCCTGCTTGGCGAGAAGCAACTGAGGGAGATTTCAGGTGTTTCTGGACTTCCCTCTGCCTCATGGGCCTGGCCGGGGGCCGCCTGGCGGGGGGCCGCCTGGCCGGGGCGAGGCAGCCCCTTTCGGCCGAGTCCGGGCGGCATGTGGGCTTTCTCCAGCGTGCCTGCTTCTGGCTGCAGGGCCCCCTGGAGAGGAGCCTGCGGCCCCACCATTCTGTCCTGTTGGCTCAGCCAAAGGAGGGGAGAAAAGCATTAGTGCCATGTATTTGCCAACCTGTGTTCATTTCCATTGGAGTGGGACCTGAGAGGGAGGGTTTCCGAGACAGACTCGAGGAATCCCCTGTCCGAGTCCCCCATCTGGACCCAACCCGGATCGGATGCTGGATCCTGGTAGGATTCCTCAAACCCGGAGCTCCCCAGGTCCTGACTCTCCCTCCTCCCTGGGCAAACACCTTCCCGCAGTGCTCTGCCCAGCACCGTGCCCCTCTCTTCTGCTCCTGCCAAACCCTGCACTGCAGCCCCCACTGGCACCTTCCTCAGCAGGCTGCCTGCAGGTGGGGCTGGGCACCAGGGTCCCAGGTGGAAGGGAAGGGAGAGGAGAGCCTTGTGGGAGGGGAGGGAGAGAGTGGGGGAGGGGGGCAGATCCAAACCAAAACCCAGTGTTGGAAGGCTGCAGAGAGAGAGTCCGGATCAAGTGGTTAGGAATGGGGAGAAGACAGAGGTGGGAGAAAGAATGAGTCAGGAGAGAGGGAGAAGGAGAGGCAGAGATAGAGCAAGGGGGATGGAGGGCAGAGAGGTCCAGAAATGGAGAAAGGGGAGAGGAAGAGTGAACAGAAGGGGGAACCAGAGGGACAGAGAGCCTGAGGGGGTGTGGGGCAGGGGTGGGGTGGGGTAGGGGACTGGAAAGAGGCATTGGAGTTAGGGAAGGAGGCACTGGCAAGACAGTGGTGGGAGACCAGACTGGGATGCAGGGAGAAATGGAAGGGACAGGAGAGGAGGAGGAGGAAGGCCACAGGATGCTGAGGAAGAGGGAGCAGCTGCTGCTGTGTGTGCACTGTGCCCGGGACCACCATCCCATGTGCCTTGTGGAGAGGTTAGAACCTGCCCCCTCAGAGGCCAAGGTCGGCCCGGCGGCCAGCCGGCACGTCAGGGGGCAGAGCAGATGATTTCTGAGCGGGTGAGCGCCCCTGGAGCGGATGGGTGGTAGAGAGGAGGGAGGTTCATTTCCTTGGAGACCGTCTGACAGTGTTTCCATGACACCCTCCGCTCAGCCAGCTGCTGCCCTGGCGGAGGAATTTGGGGTTAGGAAAGCCGCGTTGGGTGGGCTGAAGGAAACACCAAAGGAACACAGGGAAGGGAAAGAGGTCGGAGTGGGGACCAAACCACAGCCCTGTCCCTGAGGCTTCCCCAGAGGTGGGAGCAGAGGGGTCACAGGTGCTTTAGCCAGGGCCCCAGGGAAGCCCAGGTGCGGCCAGAGGGCTCCGGAGCGAGGAAGCCGGAATGGCCAGGGCACGCGGGCCTCGGGGAGGAGGTGGGAGCAGAGACGGCTGTCTCTCTGGGCCCCTGACAGCTGAGCTTCGAGCAGCTCTCTGAGGAGCTCCTCCCCATTGTGACTGGGTCAGAGGGCCTGGCCATCTCCCCCACCCCCCCAGCTTTCTCTGCCCTGAGCTGGGGGGACTCTGTCAGGATAGGCCAATGTGGCCACAACCTCCATGTGGTTCAGAGTGCTGGTTGGTCAGATCCTTCTGGGTCCCTGGGCTGTGAAAGCTTCCCTCTTTGGGGACCAGTACCCCTGGAGGAAAACATTGATTTCCTGAGGGCATGAGGACCACGGTAGAATCGAGATCCTTGTCACACCCGGAACAGCCGCGACATTGGGAGCCTATAGACAAGGCTGTAGGGGAAATTCCTTGGACTTTTGAGATTTCCTGCCTGGACCCAGGGGAGTCCCCCTTCTCCGGCTTCCAGTGTGGGCTGAGAAAGGGAGACCCTCTCTCTGGAGACGCTGGGAGGTCCCCAGCACAAGACACTTCCACAGGCCCCTGCCAGGCTCAGGGCTAGCCTTTGGGGGGGACTGCAGTTTCCTGAGAAAGGAACAAGGGAGCCACAGTCCTTCCCGGAGCTCTGACCGGCAGACCTCAGAGGGCCTGTGCCGTGTGACGTTAGGATAGCTTGGTGTTGTCTACGCCCCATTAGTAAGTTTTGTCTGAATGTGTCCTCACTGTTCATTGTTCCACTTGGTAACACTTATTTCGGTCCAGACCCCCTTCTGCTGCTGCTGGATTTGAGCTTCAGTACAGGTGGAATGATGTTCAAATAAAGAAACACTTTACATCACCCGTGCTGGCTCCTCTTTCTGAGTCGGCCCCGGGGGGTTAGGCGGGGTGGGATTCAGCCTGACTCTCTATCGGGTCTGGCTGCATCATCGTAACAGAGCTCCACCGTGGTGGCCCAGCAGGATGGTTTCTCTTCCCACCGCGGGAACTCGGAGGTAGCCAGACCATGACCAGTGTGGCCCGAGGTGTGGTCAGATACTCGGACTCTGTCTTCCTCGGTGCCACTTTCACGGCCCAACATGGCTGGTTGGCATCTGGTCACGTGGTCCGCATTTCCTTTGGAGGAGACTTCTGGAAATCCCAGAGGGCTGAGTCCCAGGAGCACACTAGCTGAAAGGTGGTCTGTGAACTGGGCCCATTTGCCACCCCAAATGAAGTTGAGGTTCTGATACCAAGGGAAAGGAGAGGACAGATGGAGTGGGTGCGGGCAGCCTGCACATGCCTGGTTGCACAGACTTGACTTTGAACTCAGGACTCGGACTGAAGCAAACAAGACTCCACCCCTTTCTGCCTGTGTGGACTTGGAAAAGCCCCTTTCCCCTCTCTCTAAATCCCACTGAACTGATGTGGGTGACAGCAGTGATCTGGGGGAAGTTGCCAGGAACAATGAGGGGATGTGTGTGGATTGCTTTTTGTGTCTGCCACATTGTAACATGCCCCATATATGGCAGCTACGTTACCATTTTTGCACTTGGGAATTGTGGGCACTCAGTATAGACTAAGCACTGAAGGAACAAAAACAGAGACCCTGACTTAATGGCCCGTCCGGTTGGGGAGGTGACATGTAAAAATGTAAAATTTGCAAGGTGCAGGGAATTGTGGGTGCCCTGGGTAGGGACACCTTACTGGCTTTTGGAGGGGTGGGTAGAGCTAGGGAGAGGTTTACTGTAGGATAAATCGGATCTAGGCCGGCCTGGGTCGGAAAAGCCACTCAAGAAAGAAGGCAGGCCCTGCCCAATCGTACCCAGTGGCTGGAGCGTCAGCCCATGGACCGAAGGGGATGCAGGTTCTACTCCTGGTCAAAGGCATGTACCTTGGTTGCAGATTCCATCCCCAGCCCTGATCAGAGCACATGGGGGAGGCAACCAATCGATGCTTCTCTCTCTCCAACTCTCCCTCTCCTTCCTCCCTTTCACTCTCTCTAAAAATCAATAGAGAAAAAATGTCCTCAGGTGAGGTTTAAAAATAAAAACTATGATAGCTATTTTTTTCCTTTTTTCTCCCCTCCTTCTTTATTTTGATAATTACTTAAAAAAAAAAAAAAGAAAGAAAGAAAGAGAGCATCTTGAGGATAGAGGTCGAAGTAAGAAATAGAATGGTCTGTGCAGAGAACTAAATGCTGGACTGTAAAGTGTGAGGCAGGGAGGGTCAGAGATTAATTGATTAGTCTGGAGAGACAAAGGCCAGATGACGACAAAGCTCCAGATCTGAGAGCAATGGGGAACCATGGAAGGATTTTAAGCAGCAAAGGAACACAATTAGATTTGCATTTCAGAAAAATAACTCTGGTTGCAGTGATAGGGGGCTGAATTAGAGGGAGACATTTTAATGAAAGAGAAATAAAACGTTTGGCCTGAAGCAAGGTGGTGGCAGTGTCTCTGAGAGGTAGAAATTCAGTATTTAGGAAGCAGACTTGAGGACACATGGTAACTGATTGTGAGAGAAGGACCATTAGGAAGAAAATCTGACAGTACAGCAGGGGAGCAAGACGAGACACGCTACATGTGAGAGACCTGTAGGGCAACCTGGTGCAGTTTTCCAGTAATTAGCTGACATATCGCTGTGAGAGCTCAAAGGAAAGATCTGGACCAGAAACAGCATTCAGACAATGGTTGGAATGGAAAGCACAGATGAGCTTGCTCAGGTGACTGTATAGTGTGAAAAGCCATGGGGCCATGGGACGCTGGAAAACACTAGCCTATAAAGGCCAGAGGAATGGATGTCTAAAAGGAGAAGACAAGGAAAGAGCCAAGAAAACCATGACGATGCATTGTTACGGAAGGTCAACTGGTCAGGTGGAACAGAGAGGTCCACAATTCGGTCTGAAAACTGTGTCCTCTGGATTGGGGAACAAGGAGGCCACCACTGAAGAGCGTGTCCAGAGGAGTGTGAGAAGGTACCCTGACATCTTTTTTTTTTTTTTTTTTGGTTTTCAATTTCTCTTCCTTGCTCATCTGTTGCCAAGCTTTTGACTGGGCTTTGAAATACAGGCTCATCTGGGTAAAAATCACATTTGCTTAGGCTAGTAATAATATTCTTCTCATTAGTCATTTCTTTTCTCCAGTCTTTTAAGGAATTTTCCTAAATATTTCCTTAGTAGTATATTCATGGTCAAGCATTTTTGCAAAGAACGTAACAACTTTTTCTGCTTTAGCGCTCAGCTTCATGACTTGACCATTGCAGTACAACTGAGTTCTCTCTGGAAGAGGCTCATATGGTGAAGCAAATACAGGACTTTATGCTCTAGGGCACTGTTTCCCAAAGTGTGGTACGTGTACCCCCAGGGGTACGGGAAGAGTTTGGTGGGGGTACATGTTGCACCGGAGTTTGGTGGGGATATGCACTGCACCGTGTTTAGCTGCGCCTAATTCTACATTCTCATGAGTATGAGGGGTACTCAGCGTTACGAAAATTAAAGACGGGGTACACATATGTCAAAAGTTTGGGAAACACTGCTCTAGGGATTTCCATTTGGTGCCCTCAGTTAGTGCTCCTCTTCTGTAGCTTCTTTTTCTTCCTATTGGCTCAGGAACTTTTTTTTTAAAATCTTTATTCGTGTGTTTTTTTCTTTTTTCTTTTCTTTTTCAATTCCCCACCCTCTTCTTCCTTTAGTTTTCATTTCTTCTCTTTATTTTAAAAAAATATATTTTATTGATTTTTTACAGAGAGGAAGGGAGAGGGACAGAGCGCCAGAAACACCAATGAGAAACATCCATCAGCTGCCTCCTGCACACTCCCCATTGGCTGTGTGCCCACAACCAAGGAACATGCCCTTGACCAGAACAGAACCCAGACCCTGGAGTCTGCAGGCCGACGCTCTGTCCACTGAGCCAAACCGATTAGGGCTCTTCTCTTTCTTGGTGTCCTGTTTTACTTTTCTTGGGTTTATAATCAGCATCCTCCTCATCTGGAGGTCTTTTCAAATGGCTTCAGATCCTCTTTAGGAGCAAAGCAGCCATCACCTTCAGGTTCATTTTTAGTTTGTGGTGGACTTAAGAAGCCATTTTTCTTAATACACTTTTATTGATTTCAGAGAGAAGGGAGAGGGAGAATCATTGATGGGTTGCCTCCTACACCCCTCACATTGGGGATCAAGCGTGCAAGCCAGGCATATACCCTGACTGGGAATTGAACCGGGACCTCCTGGTTCATAGGTTGATGCTCAATCACTGAAT